GTGGATTACTCCAGATAACGTGAAGATTATGCCATTGCGGTGATTTTACATGCTATACAGCTGCTAACGTTGATGTTTTTCAAACTTATACGTAGTACACTGCATTAGTTTTGTCGTATGACAATTAACTTTGACGCATCAAGGTAACGTTTACATATTTGGATCGTTGAAAGCCAGATTTTCAGGTTTCGGGGTTGCATGTTAATACTATTCTAGATAAATAAATTTTCACCTGAGGGAGTTTCAAAAAAAAACACCTTTAATTAATGCGCATAGATTGCACCAGTTTTGTTTATATGTCAATGGAAAGCTGTAACCGCTTTAAGGCAGAATGGTCCAAGTGTGACTTAACCCACTTCGATTTTTAATAATTATTGAGTTCTACAGCTTTGCAGCCTCTTGAGTCATCAAGCTTCTTTGTTTAAAATGATCCTAGCCGATTCTGAAAGGGAACCATTAAATGTTTTCATTGAAAACTTAGTACGTAACAAAACCTTACTGTCAAGTAGCTCTTGCCGACTGGAATCTTATAAATCCAAACGACTGGGTGAAAGCGATTTAGAGAGCCAGATAGACATATCAAGTCATAGAACAACACACAAATATAGCGTTGAGTATATGCCAAAAGACTTGTACTTAACAACAAAAAATGCAAACCCATAAATTATGTCTACAAAATGCAGAGGAGGGAGGATCTGTGCTAATACGAAAGAAAAATGATAATAACACCTCCGTATCCAATGGCTTTATTTTAGGAAAAAGGGACCCTGAAAGAGTTCTACAAAGAAACGCTAAAGACTGTCCGTTGGACGTTATCAATTTGTAGCAAAATCAGAAAGGTGCACCTAAGAATTTCAAGAAAAAAATCTTACTCCCTTCTCCCTGTAAACCACAAGGAAAAACCATAGTACAACTTCTCCAACCTCTAACCCACCACTTTTCTATCAAAGATCTCAATTATAAATGCAAATTTTGCTGATATTGGTTATTGAAGAAGAAGACAAACAAAAATTGAACAACTCCGTGAAGGTGTCGTGATCAGTAATATTTCACTTTCATAGATTTATTTTGCATTATTTTAATAAGATTGCCTAAAAATGTATCGTTTTGAAAATCCACTTTTAACTAATCCATGGAATCAGTCAAAAGTTGTAAGGCAGAGTAGGCTAAGACTTAAAGGATGAGAAAATTGAACACATATTTTTGTATTTCATGTATAGATATTCAAATCTAGACTATCGTCAGTGGTATATCTCAATTGTTTGACATTCGTGTATTTATACGGTTCTAGCATCGGCAATTTTGCATAACCTATTAGACATATTTTACAATTAAATTTCCCCTACATTTGCGCTTAAAGGTGGAATGTAGGAGTATTTCTTTCGATACCGATATATTTATGTCTGCTGTCGATCCGCTGGCCTGGTAGTTTAGTCATCGCAAACGTTGCCGTTACTGGCTACTAGTAAAGGATGGAGAGTAATAGACATCGCGCTGTATAATGCAAAGCATCATGTGAAAAGTATGCATGCATTAATGTTTAGAAGCCTAAGCATTTGTTAGGAAATTCCTATTTAAATAGATCCGATTTAGGAAATGCCGTAGAAAGAAATCACCCAGAAATGATATTATTGCAAATATATTCACTTTCTCAGAGAAAAGATATAATTAATTGTTCAATTGACTTACCTTAAGGAAAATTGAACCATATTATATGAGTATTGCCGTTCGAAGAATTACAAAGTAACCACTTGTAGTAGCAATTTTTCCCGCTCGCACCAGCACGAAGTTCAAAGCAAAAATATGCTCCCCGCCCCTGCCCATACCCGGCACAGACCGGTACCTCATCTCCTATACCAAGACTCGTCACTGCAATTTACGCAGCTAATCCCGATCGGAACAGTGGGAGGGATGAAAAACGATGGGTGGGTTTGTAATTCTTCGAACGGCAATACTCATATAATATGGTTCAATTTTCCTTAAGGTAAGTCAATTGAACAATTAATTATATTTCGTATTGCCGTTCTCGAATTACAAAGTAACCACTTGTAGATGTTCAAAGAAGAGTCCGAATCGGGATCATGGCACCATATTTATTTCGTAAAGATCTAATAGAGGAATCTAAACAAAACAATTCAATAATACTATCTTCTAATACAAATTATTATATTATGAACAGTTCACTACTCTCTCTTCAAAAAGTAGTATAGAATTTGATCAAACTCTATTAATCCATAAAAAAAAAATATATTAAACTGAGCTTAAACTCAAGATACCTTTAGCAAAGGCCGTAACATCACTACAAAGAGGGCGATTATAAAACTTAGCAAACATTTCTGATTTTTGTGTCCAACCAGCCCTCTCTCTTATCATTTCAATAGAGACTCCAGCTCTATAGGCTGCAGATGTAGCTGCATGCCTAGTGCTATAACTAGAAAATATAGAGGTATCAATACCGCCTGCTTGAAGGGTCAGTTTGATCCATTTACTCAATCTCTGTGTAGAGACTGGGCGAATAGGTCTCTTAACTGTTAAAATAAGAAAATCAGTATCAAGTGGGCGTATGCCTCTGGTTTTTATTTCATCCGTAATGTTAATTTCTATTCTATCAGTATGGCGAACTATATTTTGTAATCGTATATAAGTGAACGTTTGTAATCGATGGCCAGTAATTAAAGCTAACAAAGTAACTAACTTCATAGTCAATTGCATAACAGATATTTCTGTTAAGGGATACAAGGTAGATAAGTACTCTAAAACTGGTTGAGGATCCCAAGTTGATTGATACTTAGGTCTTGACGGTCTCTGATTGAAAATTCCTTTAAGAAACCGTTTTAGAATAGTTTTATCTGAGCTATTTATCTCAAAAACCAACGCTAATGCCGCATACTGTGAGTTAAGTGTTGAGTAGGAACAATTGTTTTGAAATTGATCACTCAAAAAATTAATGACTGCGTCTAATGAATACAAAAAAGGAATATAGCCTTTGCTTATGCAAAATTGCCACCACTTTTTTAATTTCGATGAATACTGTCTCAAGGTAGATGGACTAAGCGATGCCTTGATTGCTTGGAGCCCGTTTTCTGGCACTCCTCGTCTGAGAAAAGCTTCCCCGATAAACTCCCAGCCTCCAGGGAAACTGTTCTCCACAGTGGATGGCATCCCCTAGAAGGGGAAGAGAGAAGGGCTTTATTAGGCGAAAAGATTATAGATCTTCCTGTCAATAATTTATGGAAAACGGAATACCACGGTTGAGTTGCCCAATTAGGAACCACAAGAATTCCACAAGCTTGTTCAGCAATAATTTTTTGTAGGCATTTTGATATGAGTGAGAAAGGAGGAAACGCATAAAAAAACTCTTTTCTCCAAGACACTGTAAATGCATCAACTGTAAAAGAACTAGGATCTGGTTTCCAAGAAATATACCTAGGAACTTTGGCATTTAACTGTGTCGCAAATAAATCCACAGTCGGTTTCCCGAAACTAGAACAAATTTCTCGAAAAGCCAAACTCGATAACTCATATTCTAGGTCGATAGATTTCGAGCGAGATAATCTATCTGCATATAAATTATCGGTTGTATTTATATATGAAGCTACTATGAAAATTTGTCTATTCTCACACCATTCCCAAATCTGGCGTGTGATGTTATTAAGGTGCTTATATCTTACACTGCCCATATGATTTATGCAAGCTATAGCAGTTACATTGTCGATTCTAAGAAGAATTGAACAAGAAGATACATTGGAGGCAAAGGATTTAAGTGCATTAAATGCGGCTAGTAACTCCAAATAGTTAATGTGTCTGTTAGCATCGTCCACATTCCAAAACCCGTTAGTACCTCTATTCTGACAAAAGGCACCCCAACCAGTTAATGAAGCATCTGAGAAAATCTCAAGTATGAATTTCCTATCTGTAACAATAGCTACACCTTCATTATTCATAAGAGTGTGATGCCACCAACATATTTCTGATCGCATTATTTCTGAAATTATTACTGAGGTATTGAAATTTTGCTCGTGTCTTTTTAATGTTACATATTTAACGCGTTCTAAAATCTTAAGGTGCACCCAACCATATTGTACAGTCGGGCAAACGGAAACTAGTTTTCCTATTAACTGAGCTAAAACTAAAACAGAACACCGATTGCGGCGTAGAAAAGTTTCTATTAGTTCAATCATGTTTTTCACTTTTTCTGTTGGTAAGGACACTCTTAAATTTGTGGAATCAAAAACAAAACCTAAAAAGGTACATTGTTTGGCTGGGATCATAGAGCTTTTATCGTAATTTACTAAGAATCCTAAATATTCTAAAATGTCCCTAGCAATTTGACAGTCTTGCTCAGCTGTTTGTATTGACTTACTGATAATTAATAAGTCATCTAAATACAGTACACAAATTATACCTCTAGTCCTTAAATATTTAAGGATTGGTTTCATAATTTTTGTAAAGACCCATGGGGCTGTACAAAGACCAAAAGGTAAACAATTAAAATGGTAATATACACCTTGAAATTTAAAAGTGAGGTATTTTCTGAATGTCTGATGCACCGGTATCATAAAATAGGCATCTTTTAAATCTATTTTAGTGAAGAAACAGTGATTATAAACTAATTTGAAGACAGTCCTGAAATCTTCCAATTTAAAGTGGGGTGGTTCTAAAAATTCGTTTAATTCCTTTAAATTTAGAATAAACCTGAATGCCCCACAAGGTTTCGGTATTAAGAAAAATGAGGACAAAAACTGGCCAGGTTTTGAGGTAGTTTTGGATACTGCTCCTATGTTTATCAAAAGTCTTATGCTATCCTTTAATTTATCTGATTCCTGCAGCGTAAAAGCAGGTCTAGGTAAACGCCTTTGTTTAGGTTTCTTAACAAAAGGCATTTTATATCCAGATAACCACGAAATAATAGTAGAATCTGGTGTAATGTTTGCCCACTTATTTACATATGCAGATAAGCGACCCGCATACATATCGCAAAGAGTATGTAGGTACCTTGTCTACTGCTTCCGGTATGACCTTGCTGAACGAAACCTCTCCTCCTTTTTCATGCGAGATTTGTGTTGCTGGCGCCGGGAGTTTAAAGACGACGAGACCCTCGACGGACCTGGCTTGGTCTCCAATTTCTTATAGACGACTGGTTTGGGAGATGCTGATCCTAGGGCTTTTTCCTTCTTTTTGATTGAAAAGCCTAATCGTTGAGCTTCACTTGCTGATTTCCATTGGTCCGGGAATGTTTTTCCAAATAAAAATTCATCAATTGGGCAAGTATCAGAAAATTTGCGAACGTTGCCATCCAAAAATGGTAGAATGGAATAACGACGATGAAGAGAAATCGCGTGAAAAACATCTGCGATTATTTTTAGTGGAGCACAGCATCTTTCCAAATCAGCTCGTGTTTCATCTGTAGAATTCGATTTCGTTATTTCATATTGCTTATCGAAGCCGACGGCCAGTGCACTTATCCCAGATGCTAACTGTAATTGAAGTTTACTGAGGAATGTATCCTCTTTAACTGCATTTGTACTTAAACAAGATCGAACCTCTGGGTTAATCACTGGAGGCTGAAGGGCTGGACAGTTTGCCAAACAGGGATAAGATTCCAGAGTAGTTTTGCGAGATTCTTTATCAATTCCCTTGAGTAAAAACTCAGATATCAGGGCTGCTACGTCTGTACTGACCTCTGGTCCTTTTATAGCAGATGCTTGATTACCCAGGAATTGTAGTATATTTTGTACACCCTGATCCTGGGATGAGCCAGGCTCCGGGACTTGCGTTGGATGCTTTGATAAGGGCGCATCTGAATCCGAGTCCGTCCCTGTACTCTCCAACGACGAGACGTCTAACTCACCTAAAGAACATTTTCACATGTTTATAAACACTATCCGGCAGCTTTGTTTTGAAAGATTTACATACTATGTATTCAATACCAATATGCCAATAACATTGCCAACAGTAATTCATGTGAATACTGTATGTCAAGAAGTCGCCATTCGGTGCATAGCACATGTGTACATACGCATACCCGAGATGTATTTTGAAAACAATCAACTATTCATGCTAGTAATTCATGTGAATACTGTATATCAAGACGTGTTTAATCGGTACATAGTACATGTGTACATGTATATCCGAGGGGCACATTGAAATTGATCAACCATTTTAATTAATACTAGTAATTCATGTGAATACTGAATATCAATAATAAACAGGAACCTGATAGGCACATAGCACATGTGTACTTATGTTTTCATTGAATGAATTGGGGCTAAAACAGATGGGAACAATTAATTACAATATACTTACTTGAACTATCTAAAAGTTGCAGCAATTTCTGTAATTTTTTTCTGTGTTTACGCGTCACTTTCTTTGTTACGCGACCCATCTTTCTCTCCGTCCTGCTGCGAGCGCACGAAAAATTGCAGTGACGAGTCTTGGTATAGGAGATGAGGTACCGGTCTGTGCCGGGTATGGGCAGGGGCGGGGAGCATATTTTTGCTTTGAACTTCGTGCTGGTGCGAGCGGGAAAAATTGCTACTACAAGTGGTTACTTTGTAATTCGAGAACGGCAATACGAAATATAATCCACCTTCAAGGTCTGGCAGCATGTAAACAATTCTATTTTTCTCAGAAGGGGATCGACTCCCATACGATTATTTGACAAAGAACAATTTAAAAACATAAATATCATCCAACTTCAGCGCTTGTCCAGTTATTTATTGAATTAAAAACAGAAACTGTAAATTGTCTCGAACTTTGTTCGTTGAAGTTTCAGAAAATCCTGCTCGTTTTTATAAAATTTTTAATCAGTAGAGAAAAACGGGCTGGAGGAGGATTGCAGAGAATTAGGGAGGGTATATCTCAATTGTTTGTCATTAGTGCATATATACGCTTTCTATCCGTGTAATTCTACTTATCTAACTATTAGATATATTTCACACATACATTTCCCCGCACATTTGCACTTAAGACAAAATGATAGAAGTATTACCAATACCAACGCTGAGCAAACATTGTGTTTCCGTCGTATCCACCAAGTAAGCGCAACTAAGATGGAAAACCAACTCGTTGCGTACCTACTACATACTTGTAAAGCATTACAATACCCTCAAAATGTAACCTTTTGTTTAATTTGCTGTAGCGATTAATTTTAATTCACAACTCGTTCTTCAGACCATTTAGACCGACATTTCATGTTTTTCCTTAATATACGGAAAGAATATGTTTTCAAAGGGAAGTTATTCAGCAATTTTTTTATATCTCTAGACAGAAGACCTTTTTATTTACGTCATGAACATAATTATGTTGTAAACTCCGTCTATACATTAGACTAGGATAATTAGCCTAACATGGCTTTGTAATGTACGTGCATGCTTCAACCAAAACCTAGGTCTCATCAGCAGAACTGAACAAGTCGATAGTGAATATCGAACTGTTGTACGATGTTGCTATGATTGCTGACAGATATTTCACGAACTGTGATTTTGTAACTGATATTTCCAAGTCACATATAACGATTGCCACCAAATACCGTGCAAAAGCGTGACGTGATCATGACTTAGAGAATAAGTGCTGGAATCAGGATCACGACTACTATTGAGAACTTAACTTGATTTAAATTTTAGTTCTGAGTACAATTTGCTAATTATTGTACATAAATTAATGAATCAATCCGCATTTCCTGCTCAGCTCTAAAACAAACTAATTTTCAGATTCAATCTGCATAATCTAGATATCAGAGATTAGTTATCTGGCCTTTCCACTCAACAAGTATTTTCTATACAAGCTGGCTACTGAAGGTAAGGTGTAAAAGTAGCGTTGAGCTAAATCTCGCCTTTTGTGGTTTATAGTAATAAAGATTATTATTATTATTTTGCTCTAAGTATCAGTTACCTATAATCTCCTCGTTATTCGGAAGTCGTGATCACGTCACAGTTTTAAGTCACTGACATCAAAAAGTAACGATATCAGAGAGCACAGAGATTCAAAAATGATGATATCGGTCATGTCTAATTGCTATCGTAAACATGCCTGTAAACATGTATCGGATAGTAAAGTAATACTGACTTTTATCACCCTTAATGAAATGTACGTAAACTGAAAAATACAGCTTGTCCGTACTTTTCCAAATCCTATGGAGAATTACAACTTTATGGATGCTTTATTTTCTAGCAATAAACCAGCTTTCACGGAACACATAACCATCAATTCACACATTGTGCAAATGAGGGTATTTACTGTTTTAATGCTGCGCAAGCCAATGGGAGGGACGTTGTGAGTTGATTGGCTTTATATTATCATTTACATTCAGCAATGTGTTAATGGAGGCTTTTGGTTTGGTTTAGTCACTTTAATAGAAAATAGAAAGCGTTGTTATTTGGCTTGCGACCCAGGATCTGTAGAAAATGTTGACATAGATACCATGTACCACGAAATACATCCTATAGAATATCAAGTGTGGATGGGTTGAGCATGGTTCGAAATTCCCAATAAATACTGTATAATTAGAAAGGTATTTTCATGTAGAATAAGAAATACCACATAGACCAGGCGCTGGATAAAACTAAATGAGAACCGCACTTTGTGAGCAGATATCAACTGAGGTCTAGGAAAAATAATCGGAATCTTGGCGGCACGGGTATTATGTAAAAAACCTATTAAACGTGAAAAAAACCTATAATGTGTCATATTGCAGACTAGGTAGTTTTTAGGGTGCAAACAGTCATTCCACGTTTACTCACTAGGATTGTTGTGAGCATCCATCTCAGGAGGAATGGCTCAACTACACGCATTGTTGGTTGCATATGGTATTTTTTGTGATTCCGAGTAGTCGGAGAAGAAAGTTGGTTGAATAGCAAGATCGCATCTGGATGATTATGTGTATTGGTCTGCGTATGTATAAAATCAGTGATATTTGCTATGTGATAAAATCATTACTGAATAAGCTGCCAATGAATCTATTACCTTTGCCCGACGGGTTATTTATATGACATCCTTTATTGAATACAGGTTATGTTCAAAGTTATAAATTACGATTTTTTACGTTTTCTTGTGTTTTCAAAAACAGAGAATTACGGGAAATCACTACCGCGCCCGCGTTGTGTGTAATTACTGTTAGCATGTATATGACTTGGAATTCGACAGTCTACAGTGAATATAATTATTTCTTATCTCTCTCATTTCTGAAATTCAACAAATTTGCAGATGTAATTTTCAGAACGGATAAGAAAAAGAGGATGCGCAACTAATTTCTGCTATGGACCTCCTTTCTAATTTTCGGTGTGATTGATGTATTTTTTTTCAAGTACAGCCATTCTATGTTCTCTTTTTAAGTATAGAAACTGGTGCACGCATCATGTTAACAACAAAGAAGTAACAGCAGAAGAAATTTGCACCAACTTCTCGATGCACTTGGTCCCTTATACTAGTGCCCATATTGTGCCAAATGCATGTTAACGTTCAGTGGTTCATGGGATATCAGGCTGTCTTTTTTGATTATATTACCCTTCCTCGAGTATTTATTTCAATCGTCCTAATCTTCTCAGAATTCAATTAGACGAGAGGTTGTTTGTACACCTGCCTGGTCTTTGTCCTCCTCTGCAAATATCAATTAGTTGTGAGCCTACGAACGTGAACTTCGGCCTCTTAAGTTCATTCAACCGAATCAAGTTGCGTTAATTTGCTGTTCCTTATACAGAGAGCAACTGTTGTTTTCAACGCGATATCGTTTGATCAATCGAGGGTCCTTGACCTTAGCCCTTTGCAATAACAACGTCCATTAGTATTTGCGTTGAGCAAGGATTTCTTCTGAATCCTAAAATGTAAGGGATCCTCGCAGTTTGCTTTCACGTATTCATTTGTTATTAACCGTGCGTACTCTTCTTGTCTTTGTATGATTTATATCCTATAAATGTCTAAAGCCTTTTCCCACATACTTCGTCTTGAATTCGTTGATGACTAACAGCAATACGCGAAAATTAATAGGTAGTGGAACATTACTTTTAAAAGCTTTTGTTAATTATACAGTACCAACCTGGGACCGTACCCGCATGGATATCATGTAAAAAACCTATAAAATGTCAAAAAACCTATAGGATGTCGTCTTGCAAACTAGGTAGCTTTTAGGGCGCAAACAGTCATTCCACGTTTGCTCACTAGGATCGTTGTGAACGTCCATCTAAGGAGGAATCACTTAACTAAGCTACACGCATTATTGGTTGCATATGTTTTGTGAGGCCAAATAATGGTCGTTGACTGTAGTTTTTATCTCTGAGAAGAAAGTTGGTTGAATAGCAAGATCGCATCTGAATGATTACGTGTATTGGTCTCCATGTGTATAAAATCAGTGATATTTGCTGTGTGAGAAAATCATTACTGAATATGCTGCCAATGCAGTATATCTGTTGGCTGTGCCCGACAAGTTATTTTTATGTTATGCTTTCTGAAGAGAGGTTATGTTCAAAGTTATAAATCACCTAAAACTGAGGAGAATTACGGCGAATCATCACCGCGCCCGCGTTGTGTGTAATTACTGTTAGCACGTATATGGCTTGCAATTCGGCAGTGAACAGTGAATATAATTATTTCTTATCTCTCTCGTTTTTGAAATTCAGCAAATTTGTATATGTAATTTCCAGAATGGATAAGAAAAAGTGGATGCGCAACTAATTTCTAGCTTTGAATCTCAATTAAATGAATTTGAGACAAGAACGCAATGTAATTATCATCAACAACTTACAGCTTAAACCTCCAGTAATGCCATCTCAGAAGCAGATTTTACATCACATCAAAGCCAAAGATTGACAACATGCCTCATGACGTTTAGGCAACACGTACAACTAAGTTCTAAGTCAACGTCGAAAAACCTACATAAAAAAACCAGCATAACGTCAAAAAAAAATCGGCATAATGTCACTTTTCAAGATACGTGATACCCGACCGGTCCGCCAATATTCTTTGAATTTAAATATAACGTATTGAATAATTCCATAACATAAAGTCTGACGCATGATCAAACCTAGAAGTAACTGGTTAAATCTCAGAATTTAGAATAATTTTGATTACATAAAAAGTTTTACGTTCCCAACTTGGTCCCGTCTGGTTAAATCCGGGAGTGACTGACACAGGGTGTTCGAAAAATAGACATATTTTAGAGGGTGATTTCGTGTTAAAAAGTATGAAAAAACTTTTTATATTCATAAGACCCGAAATGCAGAGCTTTCAAGATACAGGGTGATGAATTTATTTTTACTTTTTTTATTGATATCCTAAAAAATATTTACTCGATTCTATTGAAATTTGGCAATATTATTTGTTGTATTAACAGGCTAATTTTTTATTTTTGTTTTTCAAGGCACTTGTGATTTTTTTTAGCAAATATTAATAAGCCTATTCATCCAGTGACGTGCAATAAAACGGTTTTTATTTTTTTTTTTCTCGAAAACGAAGTAAGATACGAAAAAAATACAAGAGGCAAATAAGTTGTATTTTCAGATGCTTAATCAAACAACAAATAATAAAGTTACAAAATAGGCAGTCGCGTACATTTTTTCTGCCAATGATATCCGCTAAGATGCCAGCAGGACGCCACCATTTTAACCTATTTATGGCTAAATTAGCCTTTGTATAAAAGAAATAATATTGCTAACTATTTTTCATATTTCCTAAAATATCTCCGTCTATTTTTCGAACACCCTGTGTATTCCATCAAAGTCTCATGATTCAGTGAAACTCTGCAAAATATGTATCATAACCTACGATATACCCTTCTAGTATTTCTTCTTTAGTTAAACGAAACAATATTAATGCAGCAACAGCCAGGAGTTCGATTTTTGTAGCATCTACATCAACAAAGCTTCTGGCCCGTACTTAAGCGATGCACAGCGGAGCTTGCTCTAGTTTTTTCGCGTCTCTTCCAGATATCTTACAAATCCAGCGCTTTCCCAGAAAACTGCAAATTTGCTCATGCCCAGCCTGTCCCAGAAAAAGGCCCAAGGATAGATCCTTGCAACTTCAGGCCCATAGCTCTGCCCAAGTAAGGTGATGGAGAGGTGCATAAATCGGGAGCTTCTGGAGCATCTCGAACGTCATGGCTTGATTAGCGGCAGGCAGGTCTTCCGCACCATCTACCCACAGAGAGAACACCTAGGGTACGTCACGCAACTAAGGCGTAAACTCATCCAGTCTTATAGTGGGGATCATGTCTTGATATTACGAAAGTTGGCCTCCCAGAGAAGCTTTGCAGATTAATGGCTCACTTCCTCCGTTGTGATTAACAGGTTCTCGTTTTCATCCTACAATGTCAACGAGGGTGATCCCCAGGGATGAGTCTTGGCTGCGAAATAGTTCCTTTTACTTGCCAACAAACTTCCCGGTACGAGCAATCCGATCCACAATTTTGTTGATGAGAGCACTCTACAAGCAGGAATTCTTCCTTCTTGACCAAAGACTTGTATGTCATGACTGCTTAGGGACGCAACAATCTGGAACAGTTCAATGCTTCCAGGGGACAGTACTGTAGCTCGACTAACAAGAAGCGCCGTAGCAACAGCTGACCGCGTTTTACCAGCTGATCGGCACAAACACATCTCGTCACTGTCGGAGCTGATGGCAAAAAGCTAGACTATTTGTTTTCTAAGAAGTACTTTTTTCCTCATATCCTCCTCACTCTGTACAAGCCCAGATAAGACCTAACTTCGAGTACTGCTCACATGCTTATGATGCTGCCTCCCTCAACTACATTATCTGGATGATATTCAGGGGACGGCTGTCCGCCTCATCAATAAGTCTTCAGTCCAAGTCAATTTGCCAAATATAGCTCCTACAGTATTTATGAAATGTCTGGTTACAGAGATATAGTTAGAAGCACAAGACTATTTCGGACATTAGTGTATTTAATGTTCTTCCATACCATTTCTTAGAAATCCATAATGCATGTGTAAAATATAGGATTAATCTACTCAATATATTTTGTTTTTGATTAGCTTTAAAAGTATAATACTGGAATCAAGACACCTTTTCTCCGTTCTGCAAGGGCCTTACTGTGCGTGAAATTTGTAATTAAGTGTAATATCCTACATTAGAAGCGTGAGACGCCTGTTTTCAGGCAAAAACGGGAGTGATTTGCTTCTGATGCATGAATGAAAGTGTTTAAAAATTCTATCAGATTCCCTACGCTTGCTCCCTCAAGTGTTATACGTAATTACAAAAACGGCTTTTGAGGCTGACAGAGAGAATATAATCAATTACTTTTATTTCGAGTGTAGAACGTATAAAAGCGTAGCCGTGGTGTTTCATTAATTGGAGGTATTGGAGCAACAAGGTCACATTGACTTTATTTAGAGAAATCTCGAATTATAACTCATCACTAAATCCTGAAATCACTTTTTTGTTTATTTTTACGATTTACATATTAGTAAGAGTCCATGATTTTCTGGCTGCTAAACAAAACAACATATGCTTGTCATTGTTCTTGAAAAATGCCACCGTGGTAGCCGGAACGTCGCCAGTAAAAAGTGATTCAAGGAAAAGTTTCAGGTGTTCATTGTCACACTTGAAACAGCCCACTCATTGAATTTGACGGACTGCTTATCTACGGTAAAGTAGTAGTAGTTTTTTGTGACAGGTATGGAGCCAAATGCAAAAAAATCCTGTTATTTCATGAAGACTGTGTCACATGCGCTTCCTATTTCGAAAAAATTATCAAGATTATTAAAGATTTAAGAGGGTCACAAGCCACACAGATCATTTTATTTGGTGATAGTGGGCATAAAGCACTCATTACAAAATTTACATATTTTTGACACACATTAACGATATTTGTGGTTATTGAAGGATTATTATATATTCCCATAGATAATCTAATATCGTTATCTAGTAGTATTGTGTAACTAATACAAATAATAGTTTCACTACTTAAAAACACATAACGGGAATAAGGTCATATGCCACTATTATTTTTAAGGTCTGCCTAACTTATTCCAGGTTTACTGTCAGATCTGCTATGAGTCGGACGATAGTTTCTGTCCTTCCTAGTATAGTATAATCTAAACGGAGTCCAGAACAATTTTCATTTTCTTTATCACTCAAACACCCATTGTTAGCACCAGCGAACAATTCCGTTTGGCGTGAATCTTGAAATTTTGAATAGCTCATAGCTTTCTTACCATAAAAATGTGTGGTTCCTCAAACAACGCCCTTCAGAAATTATAGCGATGTCTATTAGAGAACTTTGGACATAGATACTACAACACTAGTGCGTTTAATATCTAAATGAGATTTATTATTCAGATGTGGCATCGGTACCTTGTTGCCTCAAGCCAGTCAATTCTCTATTAATTTTTTGTTGCATAAGAGTAATGATAATTAACTGAACGTAATGAAAACGACGTTTCTTATGCTTGTTAATAAGAAATGGTGAATATGCCTACATATTTGAGCAGGCTGTTTGGCATACTTCATAAATGGTGGGAGCACCACCTAATTCCAAGTAGATAACATGCCTCGCAGAATATTCTCACGATCGTCCATAGAATAACAAGTTAAAGTTCAGGAGTCGCCTTGTGTATGTGTATAGCTCAAAAAAAGTAATAAAGACTACGTTTCTATGCTTGTTAATAAGAAATGGTGAATGTGCGTACATATTTCACATTGTTCATGAATAGTGGGAGTACCACCTAATCCCAAATAGATGACTTGCAAAAAATATTCTCACGATCGCGGGGGGGAGTCGCCTTGTATATGTGTGAAGCTCAATAAAACAATTTGTCTCTATAGCGAAAATGATCGAATTTAAGCTTTATTCCGCAATATCTATCAACGATATCTGTAAAAGTATCTCCCCTGGATCTTCCCCAGAGCCGACGGAGGTAGACCAGATCTATCAGGTGCTAAAGCAGGCGACAGAAATATCAAACAGCAGACCTCGAGTTAACGTAGAATTGGCCCCCGGTGATAGGACTTTAGTGGGGTCCCCTCAGGGGGCCCCTGTGACTCAGGCACGAAAACCGGGTGCTACCAATCTCGCTGTTGTTAATCCGGCCCCCTGTTCTACCACATCAGGTTTGTCAACCAAAGTAGAAGTCAAAGAAGTGGTCAGTTTGATGGGAAATGGCTGAACAAGGATATGTTTCCTTAGTGGTTATGTGTCACCCTTTATATACTGCCGCATTTTCGGAGTAAACAAGACATCAATATCAATATCGAATACTGCCCGTTAATCAAAATATTTCATTTTTCTAGCGAAAAAACAGGTTTTCCCAAAATCGTTATATTTGTTTCCTCGTTTTATTTCTAGTCGGATTTTAAAATAAACACATTGACTGTACCACTTTTTCTCCTCTAAATGATGGCATAATTAGAATTTCAATACGACTCCTAATCTCTTGTCCTCCAGCATCATCTTTATTGTTCCTTAAGAATGCCATATTGGATTTTGGCACAGACAAATACAGTAATTAATTCTGAATCCAAAAATATATAATACGTTATACATTATAATTGCCAAACATTAGTTATTTGAGAAAAACAGAATGTTCTAGGTAGGCCTTGAAATTATCAGATAGTCACTTGTTTCCCGCACTATATTTATTCCAAGATCATTTCTATTTTTTCTGACTTCATTTGTCATCGTTGTTGCGTTTTCACATGGACGCTATGTTGGAATTTTGTACATTTAAATGGACCTTTCAGTTCTTGGTTCAGTGATGTACTCGTATTTCCTTTGTTGGCCATGAATTTCTTGTCAGAACAAAAACTATAATGAAATTAAAAGGTATGGTGATGCCTAAACCCAAAGTACAATTTTTATTAATCTCAGTACATTGTTCACTGTTCGATTCATTTCCCTTCTTATCAGCTTTCTTAGCTGTTACTATGTTCAATTGGAAGCCTGGTCTGGTATACGAAACAAATGAATGTGATAATTTCAAGGCTAACCTATGAAATTCTGTTTTTCTAGAACAATTGAGGTGTGGCAAAGCCAATGTATGATATACGAGTATTATACATTTTGTGGAGTCAGACTTTATTAATCTAGGTATACAAAAATCCAATATGACGTCTATAAGAAATAATGATGCTGGGGTACAAGAGACAAAACGTCATGTCGAAATTCTAATTATGTCATCTTGTAGTTGAGCAAAAGTAGCAATGTTAATGCAAATAAAACCAGAAAAAAAATTGATACGATTTTGGGAAAACTTGTTTTTTCCGTAACTTTCCAGAAGCACTTTGAATTTCGAAACTTTCTAAGCGGAATTTTGTTGGTTAACTAAATATGCAACTTTGCCCTCATTTAAGCGACTTCGTATCTCTTGCCGTTTCCGAGATCCTAATGGTGACGGTCGAATTTGAAACACCTGGTATTGCCCGCAGAGTGAATTGGACACGAATTAATTTTTATTCCAGATATGGATAGAAAATGCCCATATAATTCATGCCAAACTGTCGATATCAAAAACTAAAAGCTAGTTTGCCCACATCTGACAAAAGCCTTTGCAGATGCATATCCAGCGAAAAATTTTGAGGGGGAGGGAGCTTCTGAGAGCGAGGGGCATCGAAGATTGAAAATTGAGCGGGAGGGTGGCGGCAGGTGAAAAAGATTAATGTATTGTGATCTTCAGGGGGATCCGCCACTGAGCCTGATCTACCTGGAGAAAGCAGTATGACGTAAAAAATGGAACCAACTAGTTACCAAATGTCAGGGTAAAATAAACATGATTCATTTCCTTCTTGCAAACTTCACTCTAGTAATTAAAGCTATTTGAAAATGCTTTCTTTCAGTTATCATGGTAATAATGAGAACCAAGGCTTTTAATAGAGCTCTTGTTTGAACAGTTGGACGCTGTATAAATTTGCAGAAATCTATTAGTAATATACCCATTCAAAACCGAGGAACTACTCCGAAAGTTTCAAACTCCGAAATAGCAAAAGCAACACAGCTGTAAAGTTGAGAAGTTTACGTTCAGACTTGAGCAAACGTTGCGCTTTGGTGTATCGAGATTACTTAGGAACTAGACTAGGGGCAATTGATTTCCCAACTACACAGCATCAAACTATCCCGGAAAAAGTTTAGATTCATTCCAGCATTGGTTAAGGTACTCTTTTCAATGATTCACAAGTCAAAGCTGCGTTCCATTTAAGGTTGATGGAATCAGCCTGGTTTCAAAATCTCTGCAGGTACCGTCACTAGAAAATTTTCCATTTCTAGAACGTCCTCAGAGTTTTAAAGACAGACTGAGACTCAGCCAAATAATAACTCAGCCCCAATTTTAGTCTTGCCTCCAAATAATGTTCCAAGGTATGCCTGAATTTGCAGTCAGATGCTTTTTTTAACAATACCTGTTGTTGTGAATACGTCTATATTCAAACATTCGACAGCTCGTACCAAAGGCACCAAGAAACCAACAAAGCATACCGGAATGTGTATTTTGTAAAAAACCCAAGAAAACTAGGATATACACACATAATTATAGGAATTTGACATATGTCATCATTTTCCATACTACTCCTGTACATTGAATCTAAAAGTAGAATCTCGACCTCAAAAAAAAATGCGGCGGTCAAGAAGTATGGCACTAGTTGTCAGATAGCATTTTATTCACTTTGTTGCTCTAGAGTGACAAGACTATGAATTTCAACCCGTAATTGACAAGCTCCAAGTTGGCCAACTGCATGTAATATGTCTTATAAAAATATGTTCTCGTATCTTTCCAGTATTTTCGGAGACTGAGAATGATACCTGAGTAGAACTATTCTTCTTAAACGATTCCTCCCGATTTTATAGTGCAACCAGCAATAATGACGTATGGGGGCTATAGTTTCAGAAATAGTTCGCTGTAATAAAAAATAATGGGATTTTAAAACACTAAAATTCAAGGTTTTCTCATTGCTGAACGTTTGCTTCTCAGAAATCGTGTTCCAGCTTTTGCCTGGAATTCTGAGCAGCCATTTCTCAAAAACTGGCATCGCGCCATCAATTGACCACTTCTGTACAAAGTAGCAGCTAATAGAACATGATAGAACGTATATCTTATTGACTGATAGCATCCACTTTTGTTGGTTTTCGAGACATCAACGTAACTGTCGTCAACTGTATCCGTCGCTATAGTAGAAATACTAGAAGCAAACTTGATGTATACTAAATTCTACTTACATGTTAATCTATTAACACCTTTAAGAATGTGGAATGCCTGGTGAAGGATATTAATCACGGTTTATAAAAAAAACGTTATTATATTATCACTCCCAGCTGAATGACTATTTCAAATTCAATGCTAATTTGCGATGGGTATATTCTTCAGTTGCTACCATGTTGTTCAAATGTATTTGATGGGTAACTGGAGCATGTTTCTATCATTACTTAAGCCTGCTTAACTGAAAAAATTGAGTTTTGATTGTAAGTCGTCTAGAGCTTCAATATACAACATTAGACAACATTTAACTAAGCTGGTGAATTTAGGATCTCGAGTTTTGAGATTGAAATTTAGTCAAAATAAACCGTGAGACATGCTTCAGAGTGGACCTGTTAAATGCATAAAACAGGGCATTCAGGGCATGAAGACCCTGCGGCACTAATGTCAGTATCAATTTAATAACAAATCAGATTTCATCAGATGGACATTTAAAAGTCAATATTTATATGAGATTGACAGTTGCGTCAAGCGCTGGGAGTTCAGTGTAGTTACAGAACATTGCTATTACCTTTCACTGGGCATTACAATTTTATTCGTACATTTAAACATTTTAAGCGCATGTTGTTTCAAATGTTGTAAAACTTAATCCTCTTGTTCCAAATCCATTTTAATTCTGGGGGTAGAGTACTTGTCCACCTCTCTCATATTACGTAATTTTAAAACGTGATATTACATAAATCAAGCATGGTAAGTATATATAGTACTACAGCAACCTGGGATTCGCTATAATCTTCAATAGTGTTGATATTAATTCCTAATTTATGTATGTGTACAATAAGTTTTAATGATCATCATTAGTGTGCAGCATAATATGTAAGTAACACCTGAAAACGTTAAAACCGTTGAAACAAATAATGACGAATTTCCTAGAAGCAGTTTGCTGTAGTTTTTCTGATGGGTACAGTAAACATCGGCCTCTTTCATATTACGTAATTTGAAAACGTGATATTGCATACTTCAACACATATATGCATAAATCAAACTACTAGGCTAATCATATTAGACGAATATCTAGTTTTATTGATGCAAGTTGTTCAAGGGAGTATTCAAAACATGGACGCATAAAATGGGTACACCAGTTTTTGAGGGAAAAATTTTTATTCGACAACAAAGAATCAGAAAACGTGTTTTTGGGATTCAATCGAAAGTGTTGGCAGGAACGAAAAAACTCTTCAAATAAGATTTTTAGGTATTTATGAGACCTACAAAATGAGATCACACGAAAAAAGATCCCACCAATAGTAAAAAGATATTCGTATTTGTAAGTAAGTGAACAAAGCGGATGTGTCTATCACCTTTTGTTACGAAGAAACAAATGATTTACAAATAGGAAATTGTTTGGATTTGTTTAGAAGAAAAAAGGTAACGCTGTATTTTGCTATAAAATGACCTCTAAATGAACCCTGTCCATTGCTCAATAAACTAGTAGCGATGGCCGGAAGACAGGTGTTTTGGGATAATTTTTGACTATTAGTGGGATCTTCTCACGTGTGGTCTCAATCTGTAGGTCTCATAAATACCTAGAAATCTTATTTAAATAGTTTTCTCGTTCCTACCAACACTTTCGAGTGAATCCCAAAAAACACGTTTTCTCATTTTTTGTTGTTGAACAAAAAATTTTCCCACAAAAATTGGTGAACCCATTTTATGCGTCCATGTTTTAAATGCAGCCTTGAACAATTTGTGTCAATAAAACCAGAATTTGCAATTATAAGTAAAACTGTATTGTTTGACATGGTTTGCTGGAATTAAAGTCGTGAAGAATGGAAAACAAAATAGACATTGGTCATGTTCACTTGAACGTAGCTCAACTCAAGTGATCAATGCCACCGAGATTACTACATTTACACTACAAAACGATTTAATCACGTGAGATATTTAAATGGCTTCTTCTCTCTGAGATGTACGTGTGAACACAGTGGTGTAAAGCTCATTGATCGCTCGAGTAGCGTTATGTTCTGTTGAACACTGCTTTCGTTCAAACCTTAGGAAAAAAAGCTATACATAAGTTTGCTGGGGATGCTGGTAAAGATCTGAATCACCTTTTGGCATGTGCTATTCGAAATTGGAAAATATTCCAAAATATCATGTAACTCCCTGTATAAGACAAGTATTCAGCATACGGTCCACAAATATGCCTGGCATAGGTTCATACCTTTCACGCGCAAAGCGTAACCATTAATCTTCGGGCGGCCGCGGTTTCGATCCGATCTGACCCTAATATTTCACCCATTTATTTATTTCAGTCGTTTCCCATCCGAACCTTCATCAGACGGATGCATTTTTTATCCTCCTTTACCCAATTCACGTTGATTTGCGTGGACAGCTGGAGGACGTATCATGCTTATGGGCTTTAACTCTTTACTGGCCGCAATCACGTTCTCGTGACTTTGCCAACCGTTATCGGCCGCTGTCACGTCAACGATGATGCGTCGATATGAAGCATCATCGTTGACCAAAATAAATCACGCGTACGCAACAGTGGGCGAAAACTTTACGCAAAGAGAAGTCATGAGAGCGTGGCAGGTGACCGGTATTCACGATCTTTATATTAAAAAAGGTGAAGGTAAAGACTCGTTATAAAATAAATTGAGGGCTTTTTGAAAAGCATTGCATGGATTATATATAATATATATATAAAATATATATAATCCCCAATATTTATAATTTCCTGAAATATCCTGGATAAACCTTTCAAATCATTGAACCAGTAAACAGTTGCCCGTATATCCGTGTTTTAGAGTACGTGTAGCTTACTTATTTTAAATAAATGTTTTATATAAAAAACGTAGGATTTTTTCTAGTTTAATTTGTCATATAACTAACGGAGATGTAGTGAAAGAACTGATTTTGAGCGATTTTTTTTTCAATATAAGCATTTCAGAATCAATGAGAATATTAACTTACCCAAAACATTCCAAGCAACCTCCTTTTTGACCACCAGCTGATTGTACTATAAAATCTATTTTGTTATAAGGGACCGATGAATCGGTAAAGGGACATGCTCAAACTCTTGAGTTCTTTTCTTCCGTAATCTTGATTCAAAATATCATGTATATATTCCACACGTGCTTTGTACACAGATTTCTCCATATGGAAACATCAGTCTTAGATACAAGTTTCTGTGGGGAGAGTTCTCTCACCAAATGTGCAGTAACGTAGAATTTATGAATACATATCTATAAGGGACGTTTTTACGGAACCGTTTTGTTGCTCCTTGTTCAGAATACACCTACCAGGGTCAGAAAGCTCAAATCGGTGGTCACTTGAAACAGAAAACTACCGTCTTTCTACAAATAGACATATTGCTCAAAATAGTTCTTGTTTCTTCTGATTATATTTTAGATGAAATAAGATCAATAACATTTATACATATACTAAGTGACATATAAATCCGAACACCCAGTTTAAATGGTTTTATTTTAATAAAAGTTGGTGAATGTATTTATCTTACTGTAAATAACAAGTGAAAAAACTTTCAGCCTTATCAGTTGGACATTCCGGTTTTTATACTGCTTTTTTTTAATTCACTAACGCTCTAAAAATGAATATTTCAGTCGCAGTAAAGAATCAGCGTTGGCGGATTTTGGTTCTTGACATCCTCTAAGATCGGTTACGCAGCCTAGAGTACGGAGACATGTACGATTTCGTCAAATTAGTGAGTTTGATAGGGGCCGTATGGTGGGACTTCGGGAAGCTGGACTTTCTTTTCGGGCAATTGCAGTTAGAGTGCAAAGAAGTGTAGACACTGTGGTTAGGTGTTGTCAGGCGTGGCTTCGAGAAGGCCGTACGCAAAGAGCAAGGGGCACTGGACGCCGCCGTAGAACAACAGACCGTGAAGATCGCCGCCTAAGATTATTGGCCTTAAGGGACCGTTTCTCCACTACCAGGTCTATTGCAAATGAATGGTTTGCAGAACACGGAAGACCTATTGGCATGCGAAGTGTTTACCGACGAATGAGAAGTTTTGGCTTGTTTTCATACCGGCCACACTGGGTCCTTTCTCTCGAGAACACGGACGTAATCGCCTTGAGTGGTGCAGACAACGGTCACTCTGGGATCAGGAATGGAACAGTATTGTCTTTAGTGACGAGTCTCGATTTTGTTTAGGCATGCACGATGGTCGTGCCAGGGTTAGAAGGCGACGTGGTGAAAGGAGGAATCCACAGTTTTTTGTTGAAAGACATGTTCATCACACTGTTGGAGTTATGGTTTGGGGTGCTATAGCTTATGGTTCCAGGTCACCTTTAATCTTCATCAGAGGTAACATAAACGCGCAGCGTTATATCCACGAAGTTCTAGAACCCCATCTTTTACCCTATCTTGACACCCTGGCAGATCCAACTTTCCAACAAGATAATGCCCGACCACATGTTGCAAGAGTCACAATAGACTTCTTTCAACATAATGATGTCACATTGTTACCATGGCCACCAAGATCTCCCGACTTATCCCCAATTGAGCACGTGTGGAATAGGATGGGTAGGAGATTGCTCAATTTGCAACGTCCTCCTCAGACTCTAGAAGCACTTCGAGAGGAGTTGGTGGTTGCCTGGAATGAGATACCACAGGAGGACATTGACCACCTGATCAGATGCATGCCTAGGCGCGTTGGAGAATGCGTAGCACATCAGGGTGCATCCACACATTATTAAAGGTCAAAGGGCTTTAAAGCAGTGCAATCATTTTGAAATTTTTATCATTTACTTATTATGCATTTAAACTGGGTGTTCGGATTTATATGTCACTTAGTATATTTGCCTAAAGACGTCTTCCAATGTGAACGACTTAATATTGAGATGAAATAAAACAAGCTGTGAGTAACGAATTTATATTAATTTATACTTCTATTCAAAAAGGGTATGGTAACTTGTATAATTCTTGTTTTAACTCACATTGTACAACTTTTTGAGGTTCCTAATGGATTTCGACTAATCTGCCACTCAGGAGTATCCGGGTTCATGTTCGCAAAATTGACCAATCCCAAAAAAAAGATAATTTGCATATTTAACCAGGCCGAAAACTAGCCTATTTTTGTTTTCTTTCTCCTAAAAGTTACGGTACGAATTTCAACGTGGCCGCATTTAGGTTTGTTTCTTTAGAATAGACCTCCCCTCAAGGAACATTTATATCGAAGCAGAACGAATACTTGACTTCAGATTTTTGTATTTTGCATAAGCTCACCATGCCGAGTCTATATAGCTTCGAGCTTTCAAGGTTAGACGCATTTTTTCAATTATAACGGCACCTACTTTATCGACATTGACCTTACTACGTTTACAAGCACACTTTAAAAAAGTTTAATAAGCGCTACTTGTAACGATCGTCTTACACAGTTTGGATAAATACATTCCGCAATCTATGCGACAGAGTATTTACTTAAAAGTAGTACATGCATGAATATTTTGTCATGAAAAGTTTAACTATTGACACTCGGAGATGATAAACACTCACTTAAAGCTTAGTTATAATGCTTGTGATCAGTGTGGTGCGTCACTGGAGTAAAACCAACGAATTTCCTCCCCTCGCGCGACTTCAGTAGCAAAGCCCAAGCCCCAGTGCAAGTTGATCGTATTACTTAGATTTCAAGTGAATAAAGTTGCTATGAATTCATTGCCATTTTATCAAATATGGATGATCAGACTTGTTGGAGTCTGGTAGAAGCATGAAAATCAAGGTTCTTTTTTTTCTTTGGAAGCAGTGAGAAATCCTCATAGGACCATCAAAATTATGGTAAGTAATCAATAAGTTCCCAATGGTAGAAAATATTGTTGGCTTCACTTGCATAAAATAGTATAACTGGTATCTTTCATAAATATGAAAGAATTATGCCGATAACTTAAAGCTTGAGGAAGCTATGACATTTTGTTTTGGGTGCTGTTGCTGACCGCCCTCACGCGTCGAGGTTCGGCCGTTACGTCGCATGACGTAAGTTCGGATAATAGTTAAGCATACCAAGCGAAACATCCATGCATTGGCACGCACAAACATTAATAATTAACCCCACACGCAATCGACGCCACAGTGGTTTGAAAGTCCTAAAATATTGGCAAAAAGACAATGCAGCTTCAGGTTTTGTAGGAATACGTACAATCCTTTACTTCGACTAGTTGCGTTTTGCTACTGATGCCGCGCGGAAGGTAGGAAGTTCATCGGGCCTATTCCCGTGACACAACCCACAATAGTTTTACGTGTCATAGCAAAATATTTATGCATATACTACTTTTATATAACTGCTCAGTCTCATTGTTGTAGAATAAATAGAAATACACCGGTTTTATTTATGTAATGTTGTGTGTACGTCTCGACAAAGAATTTTAGTGTCGGCCACGATCAAACTAGCACTACGCTCTAATAGACTGGAGTGTACTCTTAGAAATCGTCATTGAACAAGGGCAAGACAGCGTACAAGCTTCTAAAATAGACCTCATATAAGAAATGTTATCAAAATTCTCCTCAAATAGATCAAAAATCATTTGATAATTTTTTACGTAAGCATTCGTTATGTAAAAAAAATTGTCAACCTGATTCTGACTGCATGCAACTTGGCAGCGCTTCCAGCATCATACCAAGGAGGAAGCCGCATGAGCAGCGCTAGCAGCGACCTCTCGATGCGTCGGAGGCTATTCGCAGGCATGAAGAGTCTCACCGGATTCGGCTCAAGGTCGAGGCAGAGGTCTCCCGGACATCGCTCCATCTCCCTACCTGAAAGTACGCTTACGAAGCTCTGCTATATCTGTGTTTTTACGATGTGGTGTACTGTTGTTGCATGATGAGTGTTCATTTAGTGGCAGGTGGTAAAATACTGGAATAATCCCAAAAACTATTAATTTCCATGCATCATTAGCAAGCTTAAATATTGCTCTATTTTTTTGAACCCCATATTTCACCTTGTCATGGAAACTGAATTGCCATGTAAGGTGACTTTCATTTTTGAGAGCACATGGAAGTCTTTGGGTGCCAACTTCGGAGTACAGGATGGGTCAGTAGTGAGTTCCCATCCTAACTGGCTGTCGGGTGTGCTTGCATTGTCATGGAGAATGATTTTTCCTTTCCTCAACATTCCTCTTCTTCGGTTCTGATTTGCGAGTCTGAATTTTGTTTAGTCCCTCACATTGTCTACTTCCTATATTAGTATAATCATATTAAACGAAAAATACCCTTGGTTTCCGAAATAATTGTAAAGTCTAATTTTATTGATGCAAGTTGTTCAAAGGGGTATTCAAAACATGGACACATAAAATGGTTATACCAATTTTTGTGGCAAAACTTTTTATTCGACAACAAAGAATGAGAAAACCCGTTTTGTGGGCTTCAGTCTAAAGTGTTGGCAGACACGAAAAAACTGTTTAAATAAGATTTTCAGGTATTTGAGAGACCTACAAAATGAGATCACACGTAAAAATATCCGACTAATGGTAAAAACGTTATGGCCGAAAACCGAGGTAAAATGCAGGTTTTGGCACTTGTTGCTAACGCGACAATAATTTCACGCAACTGCTTGAAATTCTTCAAATCCGCAGGCTTCATTCTTCTACATAATCACAACAAAATTGAAGTCGATTGGTGAAGTAGTTTTTGAGAATTTCTAATTGTTTATCCCAAAACACCTGTCTTCTGGCTATCACTACTAGTTTACTGAGCAATATACAGGGTTCGTTCAAAGGTCATTTTATAGCAAAATACACGAATTTACCTTGCCGACCTAAATCACAAACCATTCCGAAAGATAATTGTTATTTTTATGCGAAAAAGGAAGGGTTACGTTTTTTTTTTCTAAGCAAATCTAAACATTTCATATATGTTAGTAACTGAGCAGATTCGCTACGATATTCGCAAAATATTTCTTCATACTCTTGTGTATACATGCTTAGGGCTGAAATCTTTACAGGGTCACAGATGAGTATTAAAGCTTGTAAACCAAATATTCCATACTGAAATGCGCTGAACTGTTTATAAAGATAGCACGCGAACTGAAGACACAATTATGTTTTAAACTGTCTTAGACTAGTTAGTATGTAGCATGTGCTAAATGAAAAACGACTGCAAGTTCAAAATGTTGGAAAATAAACTCGAGAAGATGAAAAAACAGTAGACAAATATCAACCACTTGTTGCGAGCTGACCGTCTTGAAAATTAGGCAAAAGCATACTACAGGGTGACTTTGAAGTATTTGATCGTGCGGTCTTGGAGCACCGGCATGCCCTCCCCTGCAAGGTCTTAAGTCACCTGATTCACGAGCCCTTTGTAATACATTAACAAAGGCACGAGGGGTTGGTTGCACTCGATTGGGAAACCGATCTGCATAAATCCGTGATGCCGCGTAATAAGAATCATGTCGACAAGTTCAGCATTTTCATAAACATGTGCCATTTTTGATTTCGTTTGAGCCACGCAACAGATACCACTATTCACTCACGCGTTACCGACTGACACTGACTGAATACAACTGAATAAAATAATTGTAAAAACATCGTTCCAAATTCTTTCGCTTTTTTGTTTCCGATGCGATGAACCGATAAGGCGGATTATATCCGTTGTTGCCAAACACGAGCACATAATATTATTATTGAGGCAGGGCGGTACTCAAACTTCCAAAGGGCTATAACTTTGTTACTTTAATTTTACCAGAAAAATGGTAAAGGAAAAGAACATTTCTTTTGATCAGATCTACTCACTGTTAAAATAAATGACTCAACTTCGAAGTCACCCTGTATAATTCTTTATAACAGATTTGACATCCTCCAATATTCGCTTAACATTTGTCAGTGTCAAGCAGAGTGGTATAAGGACCCAGTAAAGCAAGAGGCGTTCCTCTTAAAATAATACACTTCTGTTTTTCTTTGCCCTTCTCCTTTTTTCTTATCTTTAACTTTCTCTTTTTTCTTGACACTGTCTGGTTTCTGGGCAACCAGGACTGACAGATTCGACTAACGTGCACTAGAGAATGACTAATGGTCAAAGGTCCTACAGACCACCCAGACAAACAAATTACGAAGAGGCGTTGTAGCTTAATGAGAGGGGTTGATGATTGCAGAACCGCAAGACAGGTTCGAATCCACGAAGCTCCTTTTTTCTATATTATTTGCAGACATAAATGCTTTTTCATATTATGTGTACTTCTATTGCAATAAAACAGTTTTTGCACGCTATAGACAATGTAAGCTACCAGTCAGGAAACCAGTGGTACTCGTAAGATAGTTTATATTTTTTTTATGTTACTTTGATAAAATTTCAGAAACATTATTTCGGATCATATCAGAAAATTTTGGAAGATAAATATCTATTAGCCAACAATAATGAAACATTCTAACTAGTCTAAGACAGTATGGAATATATTTTTTTATAAACTGGCTCATCTGTGACCGTGTAAAAATTACAGCTCCTAAATATGCATAAGTATGAAAAAAATTTGAAAAAAAATTGTTTTCTTCGTAACAAAAGATCATAGACAGATCCGCGTTGTTGTAAAATGTGTATAATAACGTGTGATTTTTGAATCTCTTCAGTTACTCACATATGAAATGTTTGAATTTGTTTATAAGAAAAAAACCGAACCCTTCGTTTTTCGCATAAAAATAACAATTACCTTTGAGACTGATTTGTGATTCACGTCGCCAAGGTAAATTCGTGTATTTTGCTTTAAAATGCCCGTTGAACGCAATCTGTATATTGCTCAGTAAACTAGTAGTGATGGCCGGAAGACAGGTATTTTGGGATAAAAAATCAGCAATTCTCAAAAACTACTTGACCAATGGACTCAAATTTTGTTGTGGTTATTTAGAGGGATAAAGCCTACGGATTTGAAGAATTTCAAGTAGCTGCGTGAAATTATCGTCGCATTAGCAATAAGTGCCAAACCCTGCATTTTGCCTCACTTTTCGGTCATAACTTCTTTACTATTAACTATTTTGTAGGTCTTATAAATATCTAAAAATCTTATTTGAATAGTTTTTTAGGTACTGCCAAAACTTTTAATTGAATCCTAAAAATCACGTTTCCTCATTCTTTGTTGTCGAATAAAAAGTTTTCCCACAAGAATTGGTGTACCCATTTAAGCGTCCATGTTTTAAATACCTCCTTGAACAACTTGCGTCAATAAAACCCGACATTTAAATTATTTCGGGGAAATTTGCTAATATGATTCCATATGGAAAAGCACAATCAGTAATAGGACGTTTGGTTCTGACGACGAAGTTAAAAAATAGGCTCAGTGCTTCTTCAAGTACCTAACACAGAGCTGGTATGATAGTGACATACTAAAAAAAATATTTAAGCTTTATAATGTATCACCTGTTGGAAATAAATAGTTTTTACGCTTTAAAAAAATTAGAGACCTTACTTTCGGGATTACCGTCGGATATGCAAAATATTTATGCTTTATTTTGTCAACAGATGTTATCTATCAATAGACTGATCGCAACGTTCCATATTCTAATACGGCATAGCTCAAGAATATTAGAATCTTTAACAAATACGCAAGGGGATGTTTGGCAGAAAAATCTAATTTTTTGGGTCATTCTGGATCGAAACGTGTGCGACCGCGTTGAACATTAGATAACCGGTATCCAGCCAATATACCTTTATGAGCCTATTTTTTGTGTTTTCTATATCATGAAAAATATTTAGAAGGCTGATTCATTTTTTGAGATCATGAAATGAAGTTAATAAGAACATAGTTGACAGAACGGTAATCTGGAGTTAATACTTCAAAAAGTTTCTCTGAAATGTCTCATAGTGAAAGATCTTCCAACATTGTATAAGATATGAAAAGCATCCTGCAGACTGAGAAGGGGTGAATGTTTAAATTAGATCAAATAAGTGACTAGCAAAATTCAGAGACAGCACAAATGAGATAATATCCGTTGACAAAATCAGGTATTCGGATATTATACGCTCAACTTATCCCAGCGGTCGCTCTTTATAAAAGAAACAGAGAGCTCGTTACTGTTTACGCTAATGGTCTACAAAAAATAAGTTTTGACAACAGTCTTCCTTAAAATTTAATATCCAGGCAAATGGGGTTTGATAGGTTCGTACTTTTGCTCATTAAATAGGAAGCTTCTCTGTAGCACTTATCCTGAACTCCTCGCTTCCAGAGATAACCAAAATAGCTCTCCCTTAATTTACTCAAGACAGGCAACAGTTGTCAATTTGGATATATCTTCATATACGACTATCCAAAGGGTCTGGGTATGCACAAAACTAGTGTAAAAATAAACGCAAGTCTCAAACAGTACCGAAATTTCAGTTTCTTTTATTTCCACTGCATATTTAAGCTGACTCAGAGGAACAAACAGTATATATAGGTAATTGTTCTGAAAGAAAATCAAACAATGTTATGTACATTCGACTTAGCTAGTATAAATGATAGCAGCAAAGTCATATTTAAACAAATGTAGGCTCTTGCATAGCTTATGTTTTCTGGTTCTTACGGAAATATAGCAATTTCATAAGCGTACTATAAGATAGTCACCATTTATCGAGTTAATTGTTTTTTTTGAGCAATTAGTTCGATTGCTATCCTGTTCATATAATTAAATCAAAAACGTAAACTGTTCCAGCTATACGTTGAATCTAAATGCCTCAATTCCTAATAAAAAATGCATAAACATATGTTTGTTCTAGTTGAATGGCTCCATCGATAGTGCTAATTACTTGCTAACAATTTATTGAATCGTTTTTGGCAGGTGTATATAAATAAAAAGCATTAACCCTTCTACTGCCAGTTTTGTTCGCAAGTATACATTATGTATTTCCGTGTACGTGCATT